ATCCTTAAAATACCACTCATGGGTATATTTTAAAAATTCAGAATGTATTTTTATTTATATAGTTTGTCAGTAAGTTAAGATTTCCTTTTTTTAACAATAAGCATTGTAGTTTAGAAACATGGATTATGGAGCTACAGTATATGGGCTTGAATCCCATATTAGTTACTAGTTACTTGTAAGTTGTATTTTTGACTGTTATGTATATGCTTAGCCATTTGTATCTTCAGGTTTCATCCATTAAAAAATTACAAATCAAAAATTTTCTATAAAATATTTGTACTGAATGTGTACCACAACTTTTTTCTTATCATTTATCCCTAAATAGCATAGTACAACTAATATTTACATAGATTTTACATGTTATTAGATACTATATATAATGTAGAGATGACTTAACAGGGAGAACAGTGTAGCTTAGTGTAAATACCACACTGTAGTTTAAGGGACTTGGTATTCCCTGGGGTTCTGGAACTAATCAGTCAGAGGACACAGACTGTATATATCTGTGTTGTATGTGTAAGTAGAATTCTGAGACCTGTGTTTCGTATATTATAAATGATCAAGAAGAATTAGCAGGGTTTATGATAAGTTGCAAGTTACCAAAAAATGTAGTAAATTTGATAACCACTCCCTTCAAGGGTTCAAATTACTGTATTACAAAATATTAACATAGTACTTGTGTTAGTAATATACAAATATAAGAAAACAATTGCAGCCTTATGAAAGTATCAAGGTTCTAGAGATAATGAACAAATAAGTGGGGAATGGTTTTAACCCTTTGTTAAAGTTTTGTGCATTTCCCTTCTGATTTCTATCTTGTCTGTAAATGTCCTTTTTGTTTTTAAATATGTACCTGCTAAGGACAGGGGTCTTAGCTGAGCGGCACAAGCACTTTGTCTGGCAAGAGCGAGGTTGTAAGTTTGATCCCCAGAACCAAAAAATAAAAAAAGAAAGTACCTGGTAAATATATATTTCATATGGTATAGTTCGGCGGTTTTGGTAATTTAAATATGTGATTTCTATTTCCAATATTGTTCAGTATTTTACATGTATATTTATTTATATACTTATATATGGTTTACATACATGAATATACATGTAAAAATCACATAATTAATTTACACATAATAAAATAGATTGAGTTTAAATATTTAGTTATTAGGTTTTGACACATATGTATAGCCACATGTCTACTACCAAAGTCAAGACAGGGAATATTTCCGTGAATCATCACTCCAAACAAATTCTCATGTGACCTTTTGCATTAAATTTTCCCTAATGATTTTGACAGGCAATCATTGAACTCACTAGAATTTACTTTATTCTGTATGTTCTTATAGTGGAATTGTATAGCTGTTATTTATAGGCATGATTTTGAAAGATACTCATAATTTTGAATATTACTGTTTTTTTTTTTGTACTGGGCAAACCCATGACCTTGTGCATTCCAGGAAGGTGCTTGTGCCACTGAGCTAAATCCCCCAGTCTTTGAATGTTATTCTTTTAATTTTTGAGTAGTGTTATTTTTTGTGAAACTCCCATGTCTTGTGTATCCATTTACTTTTTGACATGCATTTGGGAAGTTACTTTGGAAAGGTGTGTACATGCATATTCGTTGTGTATATACCAAAAGTTACAGTGTCATACAAGTATTTTTGAATTTTGTAGATAACACATATAAAACTAGTTCCTATAAAGTAGTAGTACTAATTTAACACCAGCAGTGTATGTGTATTCCTCTGTGTCATACACTCAACAACATTTGGTTATTTAAAAATGTAGCCTTGTGACCTTTTACAGTAAATTTTCCCTAACACCAGTAAATTTTTCCAGTACATATGTAATTTCATTTTATGCATTTTAATTTGTATTTTTTAATGATTAATGTGATTGAGTACCTTTTAATGTGTTTATTGGCCAGTGGCTATGTTTTCAGCTTCAATAATGTGATGTTTTTAAAATGTTTTACCTGGTTCATTTCTTTTTGGTGATGGTTTTGAATTGCATTTTCTATCTTCCATAATGATTTTTAAGAGTTACTGATATACTGTGGGTCTGAGCCTTTTGACTCATAACTTTTTCTTGGCTGTACATTTCTTGTGTTTCTTAGTGAAGAGTTTTTAATTGAATAAAAGTTGTTAATTTTAATATAATCAAATTTACCAATTTTTTCATAAGTTTAAACTGGTTTTGCCTTTTGAGTAATGAAAATACTTACATCTTCTAGGCTTTTTGGTTGGCCAGTTACACTTCCACCTTGTGTTGATATGAAGTATAATTTCATATTCTTTCATATAGATTCACAAGTGATCTACTCATTCAAAAACCATAGATATAGAATGACATTTCTTTCTCAGGTGACAGCTGAATATCTTTATGGGCTCTTTATTTTACCTTACTAATCTATTTCTTTATCAGTAATATCATAACCTTAATTACTATAGTTTTACAGTAAATCCTAAAAGAGTACATTTTCCCACTCTTTTCTACAAATGTCTTTGTTATCCTCGATCTTTTGTTTCTCCTATGCATTTTAGAATCAACATGTTGAATTACACACTTAGTGAATTACACACTTTACAGGCACACACACCCTTTTATTATTAAGTGTGGGGTTGCATTACGTCTTAGAGATTAATATAGGCATCTTTGTCATTTCTGCAATATGCAGGCATAATTCTCTGTTTAATTAGATTTTCTGTTCTAGTAATATTCCTTTGTATAGTTTTCTAGGTGAGCTTTTACTCTTTCTTAGATTTATTCTTGGTTTTGGTACTATTTTGATGCTTTAATATGTAACATGACTTAAGGTTTTAATTTCCTTGTATTTAGGAATGGACTTGATATTTTATGTGTCAACTCTATGAGCAATAAATTTGTTATATTCATTTTTAAGTGATTTATTTTGAGGTTTAATATCCAATAAAGTAGAAACTTTAAAACATATATCTTCATGAGTTATATAAAAGATGTATGTGCCCGTGCAGTTTTTAATTACAATCTAGAAATGGCAGTTCCATATCATCTGAGAATTTCCTAGTGTTGCTTTTACATCCTTCCTTTTCATTTGCTCCTGAAGAATGATGTAGGATGTACTTGTATCTTCTCAACATGATGATTTTGAAATTCTCTCATGTTCTTCTGTGTATTGTTAAAATTTTTGTAGTAGTTTTTTGTTTCTTTTTACATGTGAATAGTTTTTGCTATGTGTAGACTATCCACTTCATTCCACCGATTTATATGTATGTCCTTTCATGAGTAATAAACTGATTTGGTTACTGTTGTCATAGACTAAATATAAAACTTATATCTATGTTCCAATTTTTTTTTGTTCTTTTCAAAGTTATTTTGACTATTCGAAGTATTTGTATTTGCATATAAATTTTGTAGTCACTTTGTTAATTTCTATTTAAAAAGCCTGCTGGAGTAATGTTTGGAATTGTGCACCGTGTGTGGTGAGAATGATATCATGGCAATGTTGAGCTTTCCATTCCATTAGCATTGTGTGTCTCTCTACTTAGAATTCAATATTTTTCTTAATAATCCTTCATACTTTTAAGTATGCAGGTCTTTGTCATATTTTGATGAATTTATCAATTAGTATTTAATGCTTTGTATACACATGAATACAATTGTATTTTGAAACTATTTCTTCAGTTGATTATTGGTATCATAATAGAATTACTGAGTTTATTTATAGTCCCCCTTTTCTGAGACCTTGATAGACTTAGTAGTTGGAGAAACTTTTTGCTATGTTCTTTAAACTTTATTGTTTTTCCTTACAAGTTACCTTGTCTTTTCAAGGTCCATTCTTTCTGCATGTTGTTTATATCCTTTACTTATTGCCTAGGCCAGCACCTCTGAAATCATGTGACCACAAATAGTGAAAGCAGTTTGCCTTACCTTGCTCTAAATAGTAGGGGAAACCACTTAGTCTTTAGGTATTAGGTGTAATGAAGGTTTCTCATGAATGCCTTTTATTAGTTAAAGAACTGTCCTTGTAGTTGGCTGAGAATGTTAGTTGTGAATAGATTTGAAGTGTATTATTTTTCTCTTGAATCTGTTGTCACAGACATGTTGTATTGTCATTTTGAAGTACTGGGGATTACACAGCCTTTTCATAGAGCTACATCCCTAGCCCATATCTTTTATTATTTTTGTTATTTTAAATTATTTTAAATTTGTCATCCTCCTGCCTCAGGCTTCCAGAGTACAAGAATTGCAGGCAAATGCCACCATGCATGGCTGTAAGAGGTTATTTTTATTCTCTCTTTCTTATATTTTTTTCACTGAAGTTGGTCAATTTTATTGATCTTTTGAGCAACAGACTTTTAGTTATAATGAATTTTATGTTTTGCTTATACTCTTATTTTCTTGATTTCTGCTGTTTTATTATTTTTCACCATCTTATTACTTAATGAGGTAGGTTTGTACTTAAGAGTAAGTTAAGGTTTTTCTGATCTTTTACCTTATATTGAAAAGAAAAATAGAACTCAATATTAATAGCTATTTCTTATTCTCTGTGCCTACAGTGTTTGTCTCTGTCAATGCGTAATAGTTAGTCTGACTAATTACCTGTAATGTCTTTCACTCGAGACTGTAACATCTTTGAAAGAAGATTGTAGGTGTATTTTCAAATTATGTTAATATGTATTTTTGAAATGAATGACAAAAAACTACAGAAATATGGAAAGCAAGTTAATAAATTTCTCTTAGAGATGTGGCTAACAGTTTTGAATTTATATGTATACTAATATTGGACAAACACATTCATCTGCTTTTGTGAATTACATATATGAGAAGCAAATACTCATGAATTAAAGGGAAATTTCTTCCCTTAAGACTGAATACATTTGTGGAATTGAGTCATTCTGTTTATTTCAAATCAGACTTATTTTTGAATTTTGGTGTTTTTTCTTACAAGAATGTATATATTTCTATGACACACCCTTTACTCAAATAAGAAGTAGTAACCCATAACTTTTCCCCTTTACTTTAAGCTACTTCCGTGAGAGAAGAACTGTTACTACCTCAACTGGAAAATCTGTGACACTGCCAAGTGAGTCTGTGTTTCTGGTTTCTGCGAATTACCTTTCATTGGATAGTATATTGAAACTGTGATGGAAAGGCAGCCCACTGGTGGCATAGGAAATGATGAGAATAATGTTATGTGGCTGTTCATAGTACTCAGAAACTTTTAAAGAGAAAAGAATAAAGGCCAGTAATGTACACTAAAAGCTTTTTGAAATTTACGTCTGCCTATGCACAAAAATTTTTTAATACAGGATTCATTTGTCATTAGCCACAGTGAAAGGCATTTATCTAAATTAAATGCTTTCTGGCAGTCTGAACTACAGGGCAAAGATACTATGGGAAGTGGTTTTGCCATGGTAACAGGAAAGGGCTGACGTTGAATAGATGTGGGAGAAGTTTTACTTTCTTTTTGAAAATTTTGCTTACATGAACATTCAAAAACATTCTTCCTGATAATTTTAGTGATGTCTAGCTGTTATCTTAGTCACTGTTTATAAATGTTCATTGAACACTGACATAAAATTAAGATTTTCCTTTTTAGATTACTTTCTTATTTAGGTATTATCACTACAAATGTCATGACGACAATTTCTGTTCTGTGTAGGCAAAGTTCTTGGTTATATTAATGGGTGTTCTAAAGGTTAGCAGGTGTACATACATGTGACATGTTATAATTTAATAATACTGTCATGATTATGAAATGAGTGGATTATAGAGTGAATTGTGTTAAGGATACCAGGGGGTGAGGAAGTTTAGGGGATAAGAATTATGAGCATTTTTGACTTTCACAATTTAAATCTTAAGTTGTAAACTGCTGTAAAATAATTAAAAACATGCTTTCGTTTCCTTTTTTTTTGCACAATTTCATATTATTCCTTTTTCCATTCTCATCCTGTAATTCCCTCAAAAGATTCAAACGAGGAGAATTCATCTTCCATCTTTCCTTATGGAGAGACCTTTCTCTTCCAGAGACTAGAAAATTCCAAGGTTAGTCTCATACATTTTTTTCCCATAATCAGTTATTACTGCTGCCTCTATGTGCCTTTTCATTTTGCTGCAACTTGTTCAAAAAATGTATTACATTGAAAAAGAAAATTTCCAGACAACAAAATTTCTGTTCTTGTAAAATTACGGTAAAGCTGTATCTTTAGGTTTATATGTCACATTGCCATTTTAAGTCTAGGAGTAGAGGATATTAGACTTTAAAACTTCATTGAAAGGTAGAACTGCCTTACTGAAAACAAGGAAGAAGCCCCACAGATACTCTCAGAGTTTGCTTTGATTTATATACAAATTCCATCACTCTTAGTTTTCAGATATCTAATTGTTTATATATTTTAATCATTCAGTTTATCACTTATGCTTTCTTTTACAGTGCTTGTACCCATTGTAATTTTATTTCTTGGTCTTAGTATAGTATAAAAATACAGCAGAGAAGTAGAGGTACATGAAGTTTGTTCTTAGTTAATAGCTTTTATTCTAAATTGAAATGATTAGTGATTCAAATAAAAGTGAAAAAAGCACCAGAAATTACTAATCTAAGTTGTTTTTTACTTAGAAATTCATGCACACAATTAGACATTTACTTAATTAAATTCAGATATATATTTGGAAACATTACAGTGTTGCTACACCAAAGAAACCCTCAAATCATAAAGCAAAAAACTCAGTGTGTAAGTGTGTGTATTTGTTTGTTTGTTTATTTATTTATTTATTTATTTATAGAAGAGGTGTATAAAGAATGAATTTTGGACTCATGAACAAACACTCAAAGGGGAAGCAAATACTTCAGTGAACTCTTTTTTAATCAAATCAAGGTATGAAGTCCTGACTGATAAGAATTCTTTAAAATAAATATTTTAAAATTTTTATGTCTTGCTGATAGTAAAAGATATATTTCTAAGAAGATAATTAATATGAGTAATTCAAAACTTTCCTTTTAAATATCTTCATGACAGTATTCCTTTTAATAACTGAATTATAGTCTGTAAACGGAGTGAATCATGATATTCTGATTATGATATCCTAACAACGATTTGCCCCCTTCCCAAAGTGACAGATACCTAGTCACTGTGATTGTACTTTGAAAATGGGAAGTTAGGTTGTTATAAAGGAGAAGGGAACACTATAAAGTAACATTGAGTTGAAGAATTTCCCAAATCTTGGTATGTCCTTTTTATTCATTGATAGAATTGATAATTACCCAGTTACTTGGGTTACACAAGAAGTTACCCAGTAGTTCTCAGGCACCAAATGTCTCAGTTTTATTGGAGTTGTGCAAACTAGATCATTTTTAATGATCATTTTATTTTCTATTTATCTTTCATTTATCAAGAGGAAAACTGTCATAGATTTCCTTAAGTTATACCCTATCTTCCGTAGGCATTTACTGTGAAGCTATTACAATACATAATGTGAAAGGGAAAGGCTAGATCATGCTTTAAAGAAGTAATCGTTTATAGAACACTGTATCCCCAAGTATGTAATCTTACCCCTATCTATGTATATCTCACTGATTAGAAGAACTTCCTTCCAATGGAATTTTATTATACATAAAAACGGGAATTTGTTGTATCATTCCTTAAATGTATGGGACTATGCTTAGCTATTGTGAAGGTATTCCAGTAATACACTATTTTACCTTATGTAGCTTTTACCTTCTGAATTTATAGTGGCTTTCTTTTTTGGCTGATGGTGTGGGGCAGGCTTTGTTCTCATTAGCATTGCAAAACAATCCTGAAGCTCTGAGCAGTCAGATGTACTTTCTGTTTTATTACATTATAGTAGAACATGTGGTCCTTGAACTAAAGCACAGTAGAAAGGGAGTTACAAGTTGGAAATAAGATCTCCAAACAGATGGAGTTAGTGATTCATGATGTCTCCCAGAGAGTAGAGGTTGTACTGACCACTTAATTCTTTAATTGTTGAGGTCAAATTGGGATGCAAAGAATATGGTCAGACCCTTCTTAGCCACCTATACTCAGCCTCCTAAAGCAAAAAGATCAGATTAAGTTATTTATGAGAAAGTACTTCTAGTAGTGTTTAAATTTTTTTATGATAATAAATTTTCTACTTAATTTTTCTGAAAAAAAAAGTTTTATAAATTCTCGGATAGGGTAATTGATTTTGAAGATTTTCCTGGTCTTAAATTTCCCTGACTGGTTATTTAGAGTTTAAAAAGTAACTAATAGGTTAAATCACATACAGCACTTTAAAATTTTAAATTCCTTTCCACTTAGCATATATGATAATAGAAAGGAAAAAATAAGTGAAGACAAAGTAGAAGATATTTGGATACCCCGAGAAGACAAAAACAATCTCCTGCAAGACTCTGCTTCTGAATCAGAATACTCAACAGTGGAAGAATGCTTTCAGAGTTTAAGAAGAAAAAATTCAAAGGCATCTAAGTCTAGGACTCAAAAAGCATTAAACATGGACCCTGCTAATAGGCACAGTTATCCTTTAAACTCAACAAGTGGAAATGCAGAATCGTCAGCTGTTTCCTCAAATGCCATCTCTCCCTATGCATGTTTCTATGGATCTTCCACAATGAAGGTTAAATCAGGATGGTTGGACAAGCTCTCTCCTCAAGGGTATGTTTGTGCTTATTTATTTTATTTTGTAAGCAGTGTATGCTGATAACTTAACTTTATTCATTTCTAAATTTGCTTGGTTTCCATACGCCTTTCAACACTCTCCACCCGCATGTATTCTTTGGGATTTGCAGTATACTTTTACAAATATGGTTTAGATATATGGGGTAAGATTAGTGCATTGTGGCATCATGGCTCTGAATCACAACTTGAAGCCTAACGTCATGCCCATACATCTGGAGTCTTAATGTTAGTTTCTAACTTTATGTCAAAATACATTCTCTGGTGCCTTATTTTGTAGCTAAAAAACAAAACAAACAAAAAACCCCCACACAGACTGAGTTGGTATTACTCAGCCCACAGGGTTTGGATTTTGCTCATATTACAGTGTTCTGTTGGAGAATACAAGGCTTATTGTACTTAAGGAAAAGCACAATCATTGTTAGATTTAAGTCTTCTCTGTTATTGATACATTGTTCTGATTCTTATATGTTGCTCAAAAAATCAGAATTCCTTGCATAGTGTACTGTAAAACAGATACATCGTTTCAGATGTTTATAAACAGTCTTGTAAGCATTTTATAATACTGAAAAATCTTTGGAGAGAATTTTTTTAAAATGAGAATTGTTTTGTGGTATCCTGATACTGTTTTTTCTTTTTCTTTCTTTTTGTTTTGAAATATTTACTTGACATGTTCTCCATAAATTGGTAAATTTTTGTGGGGGTTAAACCTCTGTTTTAGTAGCTAATGTTGTGTGTTCCTATAATATGCTGACTTTTTTTGGTACTGTTCTCTTGAAAATGTGCCTCATTTTTACAGTCTTGGTTCAATTTAATGTAATTAAATAAAATTTTACTAGGAAAGATTTCTCAAAGAAATTTGTGCTGATTGGTGGAAGAACAAGAATTACTTTTATTTTTGTCTTTTGTTTCAGTGATCAGGAGTTGCGCCCCGGGCCTTTTTAATGGGCCACATCTCTAGCCCTTTATTTTAATTTTTTATTTTCAGATAGGGTCTTGCTAAATCTCTGAGTTTCCCAGATGGAGCTTAAACTTTTGATCTCTGCCTCAACTTCCCAGAGTGCTGAGATTACAAATATGCACCATTATGCCTCCTTGGAATTACATTTCTTTAAAAAGAAAAAGCAAGCAAAAGCATGATGGTACATGTTTGTAATCCTAGGGAAGCTGAGGCACAAGCATCCTGAGTTTGAGACCAGCCTAAGCTACAAAACAAGATTTTTAAATAACCAGTTTAAGACCAATCTGGACTACATAATATGCCACTGTCTAAAAAATAAATAAATAAAATAAGAAAAAAGTGCAACAACCTATAATTTTGTGGTTAATAATTATATGGTTATTACTTTATATCATTGCATCTCTTAAAATTTACTTTTGAAGTAGTGTACTTCTTATTTGTGTTGTGTCACTCCATTTGGTTACATTAAGATGACAGGGTAACTGACTGTGTATTTTGTATTTTTATCAGCCATCAATATAATTGGTAAACCTATATTTAAATATTAAAAGCATGAGTCAGCACTCGTGGAATAAAGCAGTGATCTTGAATATTCTGAGAATTTTCACTTCTGTAAAATTCGAGTGTTTCAGAAGAAACTGCTTCGTCAGAATATCACGGGAAAGCACGCAGTAACTGGCATTTCCTGGGTGGTGTCTGGTGATGTGTTACACTTAACCGTTTGGTACTGGTACGTGGAAACACACTGAAATGGCTTGACCAGTTTTAGCCACCTTTGGGACAATTAGATATTTTTCTTCTCTATCAGAATTTGATGGTCTACCCTTTCTTTTGCATTCTGCCTAGTGTTAGATGACGTAAGGTCCTTAAATTTATACTTTTATATTTCAGAAGAAGAGGTTAAGGATTTTTAGTTAAGATTTTTCTTCTGAATATAAGTATGAATGGAAATAGCATAGTAACAAAGGAATTTTTTCATCAAGAACTTTAAAAACACATGTAGCAGGCCATAAAGTACGTGTTTATTAGATTCTAAGTAGCTATTTCAGGGGTGTGTAAGATGCTCCTTAATTAGACAAACTGATACCTGCCCACTCCTGTGCAGAAGCTTTAACTTTGGGCCGCATGACTGGTGCAGGAATTCCAGACTGAGATGGAATGTGAATTCCATTCAACAGCTGCCAACAGAAGTTTTCTGCAAAGGCTCTAATAGTAAATATTTTAACCTTTATTATGCTTTCTTTTGCAGCTATTCAGTGTTGTACTTGTAGCACACAAACTCATTAATAATATATAAACCAATGGATGAGGCTGTATTCTAATAAAACTTTATGAACTGTGTGGTGGGCCAGATTTGGCCCGTGGCCCGTACAAACATTAGCCTGGTTATATGAGTGGCTCAGGTCTCATAACCAGTGTATTCCATTTCTTGTGGTCCCACAGTAGAAAGATATAACGGGACCACAACATAGGGAAAATCACTTTCTACTCCCTTAAATATAAAATAAGAAAAAGCAAGAGTCCATTTTGGGGCCTCCACTTTTGTTCTTTTTATCTGAAACACTCCCAGAAAGTATCATTTAGATCTCATCTTTTTCAAGTTCTTGCTTTGTATTTAAGCAAAATAAATAATAATAATAATAATAATAATTCAGTGTTACAACTATCCCTTTTCCTTGTTGCCCCATGATTCTTTTTTCTTCATGAAATTTCAGATGATGGAAGATTTATTTATTTTACGTAATTCCTAAGGTACAGTTATGGCATGTGTCCAGATGCCCCCACTCCCAGAGCATCATGCACTTTTAGATGGGGGCTTTTTTTGGAGGTGGCTGAATCTAGAGTGTGTGATTGATTCATAATAAAGCTGGGAAAAGCGTTCTGGGGTTAAGGTTGAATGACTGTGGGATCAGTCCAGGATTAAATTGGCACCATCCTAATCCCCAATAGACTGGATAGAACTGGACAGAAAGAGGCTTGTCCTCGCTCTTGTTGCTTTTGCTGCTTTTCACCACCAAGAGCGAGCTATGGGGTGTGTAAGATGCTCCTTAATTAGACAAAGTGATACCTGCCCACTCCTTGTGCAGAAGGAGTCATGTTCCACCATGCCTTGGAGCCAGCCAGTTACAGACTCAAACCTCCGGAAACTTGTGAGTTAAATAAACCTTCCTTCCTTTAACTTTGGGTGTCAGGTATTTTGTCTCAGCAATAAGAAAAGCAACCAGGACAGGGACAGTTGTCCACATTGCTTTTGTTTACTATGATGTTGTTAGCAGAAAATTGCCAAGAACAGTGTAGCTATGTAGTGTATGAAGAGTCACTAAGAACACATTGAGTCACTGAAAGTATCACCCTTAGATGTTATTTTTTCTTTTGACTTTCCTAAATGGTGGAGACCTTGTAAAATAAACTGCAGAACTCAATACTGTATTAATGAGTGAAAATCTATGGATACCATTGAGAGTGCTGGTATATGTTAACAGAGCAATGAACTCTTGGTGATTTTTACATTATGATGCTTGTCCTTTAAAGACAAGTAGGTGAATTGTTAGAATGCAGTGTTTTAAAAAGCTGCACACCAGTATTAATCAGGAGTGTTTAAAACTGTTCTCCATCATGACAGTAAACAAAGTAACAAAGAGCATAATCTGTACTTATTTTATCATGGTTGAGTGTCTATTTGCTTTGGAACAGAAATGCCAATTCTGAATTAATGCATAGTTTTTTAAAGGAATAATTATATATAATTATGCAACAAAAGAAATATTAAAACATTTCCAGTTAAGCTTACAATATGAAAACATAGTTAAATGTTTAAGTAATATAGTTTTACTATAACCTAAGATTATTTGCTGAAAAATCATATGAGAGAAGCTGGATAGTGTTGGGAGTCTGTTACCAGTGTGTTAAACAGTCCAAAGCATATGAAAACTTAACGAAGGGTACTTGTTTTAAAAAATAAAAAACATAAAAATACCCTCACCATTTCCTTAATTAATAAGCTTACGATATAAGTAATAAGCTCAAGCTTTTCAGATCTGTATACATGCAGATATTAAAGATTATTATAATGTGTTTTAGCATTCTCCAATTATGTAACTTGGAGAAAGAATCCTGAGATTTAGCTGTAAAGAAAAGAGGACATGGTAGAATGTGCTGCACTGCTTCTAGGAGACGTGCAAATTGAAGTCTCCAAGCATGTTTGTAACAAGGATATCCTTGTGCCTTTTCACATGATTGAGTCACAAACCATCCATGGACAAAGCAGCAACTCAACTCATAAACTCAACTCAGTAATTTGAGCTATCCCGTGATGAGCAAGACATGTTGCTTGTCTTTTTGTGGCTTCCATTTAGGGCAGAAAATAAATGTATGTTTTATATATAATATATTGTATATAAAACCAAATTCAAAGTAGAATAATTGGTACAGAAAGGGTTACAGAGTACAGTGCCTGAGGTGATAGAAAGTTAAGAGAACATTTCTTCAAAGACCTCCAAGAGACTGAGTTAGCTACTGGATTGGCCTTTGAAATACAGATAAAATTTTAACTGGCATTTTTTAGCTGAAATGATTTTCTAATTAGAAGGAATGAAAAGGCCCTGAGGTAGTGATGTCAGGAAGTACTGAAGTGTGAAACTGAGAAGGGCTTCAGGGCAAAATGAATATTGGCGTTGTTTTATTGAAGTTGAAAAGGTAACTTCTAGGAACAGAAGAGAGAAACTTCCACGCTCGGAGTGGACAGGGAAGTAGGGAAATGAAACGGCCAGTGATCAAACTGCGGAAAAAGGTGAGAACCTGAACAGTGGCTGGGAGTTAGACCATCTACAAGCCAGCAGCCCTGGGTAGGACTGTAGAATGTATTGTATTTGTGCTCATGTCAGGAGCTGGTTTCCCCACCAGTGTCTCAACTCCAAGGCTTGTTGAACTTAAAATTGAATCTTAAATCCCTGATGAAAAGTATCTTTTTATACTAGCACATTTTTTGGCCATTTCTAAAATTACTTGTGCCTTGTAA